AAGATACGGGAGCTTCTCATTCATTCAACAAGTGAATCAACATAATACAATGTATATATCTTCCTAAATATTAGAAAAATAACTAACCACTAAAAGAATAATGTACACATATACATAAATATATATTCATAAGTCATAACAAATTACATATTTGACCTTTTTGATGATAGGTTTTAAAAAATCCTCTTATAAATATATTATATGTGTCTCTTACTTTATCTATTTGAAGAAAGATAACACTTCAACATTGAAGCAAAAAATTTCAACTCACTGTAGAAGATTGCAAATTAACAAAAAAAAAGTGTGTATGTAGTTACTTTTTTTTGGCAAATTTTCGTTTATATATATATATATATATATATATATATATATATATATATATATATATATATATATATATATATATATGATAGGTTTTAAAAAATCCTCTTATAAATATATTATATGTGTCTCTTACTTTATCTATTTGAAGAAAGATAACACTTCAACATTGAAGCAAAAAATTTCAACTCACTGTAGAAGATTGCAAATTAACAAAAAAAAAGTGTGTATGTAGTTACTTTTTTTTGGCAAATTTTCGTTTATATATATATATATATATATATATATATATATATATATATATATATATATATATATATATATATATATATATATATATTGAATACTATTGACTCTATTACAAGGTAATATTTGTTCTATACTTTTTCTATCTATTGCAGCCCAACAAGTCAAGACCCCACCACCGGGGCTCGGTCCTTTGACCTTCCCTCAAGGGGAACCACAAAGGCGTAATTTGAGCACAAGGTGCTTGACTTTTTGTACATATATATTTTGTCTCCAAATGTATTCTACTAATTATAGTATGCATACATGAGGCGAGTTCAGGTGCGGCGGTGTCCTTAGGTGCGGCGGTGCGGCATCACCAAGAGTTCCACAAATATACGACATCAACGTTAGGAAAATGCACCACAAAAACACACAAAAATTAGGTACGCATCACTAAAAACACACCATTAGGTGTGAGTAAAAACATCAAACAATGTTCGAAAATACACCATTGGGATTTGGTGAGTTATATAGTGTATTTTTTAGGTCTGTTGGGTATTTTTTTGTTTTTTTTTTTTTTTTTTTTTTTTTGCATTTCATTGTGGTGTGTTTCTCTTAAACTGTTGGTGCATGTTGTTAACACTGTTAGTGTATTTTGAAATTCTGTCGCACCGCCGCACAGAAAGACCCGGCCGCATTTGAACTTTCTTCATGCATACATAAATCATAATGTATATTTTATATATATAAATATTGCATAGTAGGTATAGTAGAACATGTTATTCTAAAACTTTAATTGACTATTTCATCATTTTGTATTAATGGTCTCAGTGTTAAAAGAAAAATAAAGAGACAAGGGAGAATCTTCTGTTGTATTCATCGTCTGCACTTTTCATATTACAACCATACATATATGTAATATACATTTGTAACAGAAGGTAATAATGGTAGACATAAATGTGACCGTTACATCAGTTACATAATCAACTCATAATGTCCACACTTAATTATATTTATAACACTCCTCCCCCTTGGACATTATAACACCACGATCTTGCCTCATTAAAAACTTGCTAGGAAAACCCTGTGGGAAAAACCTAAATAAGAAAAGAGTACAAGGTATATGGATAGCATACATTCATGCCTCATTAAAAACTTCACTAGGAAAACCACGTGGGAAAAAACCTAGTTGAAGAAAAGAGTACATGATATATGTAAAAACATATATTGTATTCGTCGCCTCATTAAAAACCTTAACTTAAGAAAACCCTGTGGGAAAAACTTAGTTAAGGGAAAAAGAGTACAACCGTGAGCCTTCAAGGCATAATCAGCATAATCTTCAGGATTCTGGGGTTTGTCTACTGAAGCAATTATTTTGCAACATTTTCTCATTACATTATTATATCATACTCATGCCTCGTTAAAAACCATACTAGAAAAACCCAATGGGAGAAAACTAGTGAGGAAAAAAGTACATGATATTTTTGTATTTATGTGTTGCAAATAGTGCGCAACTGTTAGTCTTTTATGACTTAATCTTCAGGATTTTACATTCAATCTTCCGGATTGATTCGAGTAAATGTACTTCCCGTCTCCCCCTGAAGATAACAATCTTCAAATTCTACATATATTTCAAAAATTTGAAGAAATGGATTGGACAAATCTTTTGGATTTGTCACTAGAGTAAATATCTAAAAATCTTATGGCTCTTCTAGAGCTCATATAACATTTGTGCAACACAAGTGTTATTATCCTCATTTTGAACATTTAGGGAAATTCATTGTATAACCAGTTTGAGACTTGGCATTACGGGGATCAAACAAAATAGCCAGTACCCAAGTAGCCTATTAAAATTGTATCATAGTTTCTTACATAAATGGCATGTCTTTGTACCTTGAATATACTGGATGATATGTTAATCATTATTCAAGTACTTCATTGTAGGAGGAGCACTAGATTCTGCTAGCTATTTCATTGCAAATATCATGCCTATTGCGATTATGGAACTTCTGGTTCTAAAGTGGTGCTCCAACGATAATGAAGTAAGGGACTTCGAGTCCAAACGGTTCCTTATCTACTTCAAGAGATTATTAGGCAACCTTTAGTTTTATAAAAACATGACACTTATCCATATAGACATGTAAAAAGCGTTTTTAGATGTAGGTTAACTGATGTATAAAATTCATTCAAGGGAAAAACTCGATCTTCAAGTCGAGATAATACTTAGCTTTCCCAAAAAAAAATCTCCGTCTTTAGGCATGAATTGACATTGTCAAGCTCTTTAAATATTTCATTGATGCTTACAACATCAATATTGACTAAGATTGTAAATAAATAAGTTCATTATGAACCCTTTATCGAGCACATAATGGTACATATTATTCCTTCTTCGAGAGGAAAATACTCAGTCAATTCTTAATTATTTCAAGTCATATATAGACCTTAATATTCTAATGTTGCGATTTTCACTTTTTCTCATTTTGAGAACTTAAACTCCTTCGGGAACTTAATATTCTTGTCTCTTTATTTTTCTTTTAACACATTATCAGCACATGATGCTTTACCCAAATTGCTGTTGCCGATCAATCTCACACCTTCTCCGACTTCAATTCCGACCTCCAAAACAGGGTAGCAACGTCGATTGTTGACGAGAAGCCACGAGACGAAACCCTAGGTTCGTTCGTCAAAAGGGGGTACAATCGCGAGATGTCACAGGTGACTGCCGATCTTCGGATCGTGGATCGCGATGATATTGGGATGGATGAGCGACGGATTGCGATGGTGGAAGGGATGAATCGCCGGCCTGCAACCGTCTAATCGCCGTCGGAGACATGGTATTGCCTGTCTAGCTCAGTTGGTTAGAGCATTGTGCTGATAACGTGTTAAAAGAAAAATAAAGAGACAAGGGAGAATATCTTCTGTTGTATTCATCGTCTGCACTTTTTATATTACAACCATACTTATATGTAATTGATACTGCTAATTCTACGTAGCAATAATTAAATAAACCCGAGACCAATTAAAGCAAGTAAATATCTTTATTGATCACGGTGAAGGCCCTAAGTACAATCTACTTGGTTGCTCTGAGTGCCGACTGACTGCGGTCGGGATTCTCTAACAACAACCTATCGATCGTCCAAAAGTCCCTCACACTGTAGCTACTGTGGGTATTTATAGCCGCTGCGCCGGGGACACAAATCCGGTCGTTAGCCACCACGTGTCATCCTCCCGGGTGCTCTGTCTGTCGTCGCAAGGAACCGCCACGTGTCCTTTGCCAGCTCTCGCGCCAAAGGGCTACCGCTCGGTGGTCGACTCTATCGTTCGGGCAACTCCCGGTCAGATCCCGACCGGGTTCCTCACAAGAAGCCCGACCTGTTACCTGCAAAGACAAGAAGAAAAAGACAAAGGCATACCAGCCGGGGTAAAATAATGTCGGTCGGGATATTCTCTACCAGTAATATACATTTGTAACAGAAGGTAATAATGGTAGACATAAATGTGACCGTTACATCAGTTACATAATCAACTCATAATGTCCACACTTAATTATATTTATAACACTCAGTTAGTATTTGATGTTTATATGTTGTATGTTAATTAATTTTCTCATCAAAATTATTTCCAACAATATATATTTTCTACAATTATTTTTCTAATAATTTAATTGATGGGAAAGCAACAAAAAAGCCTCTAAGAGCATCTACACCAACAATTTTTAAGAGTTTTTCTTCCTTCTGATTTTTGTGATGATTTGGTAGAGAGAGGAGGTAGGAGAAGAAAAAATTGTAGGAGTTGATGCACAAGTCGTGCCCAATTACATGGGCAAATTATTGTGTGGACCATGGTCCACACAATGTTATATGTACCATAACAAAAAGTACATTTTTAATATACTAAATGTACATTATTTTTGTACTGAATGTACATTATACAATATAATGTACACTCAGAACAAAAATAATGTACATCCCCTGAATACAATGTACGTTACTTTTGTACTGAATGTACATTATTTTACAGTAGACAAAATATGATGCACAATTTATATGGATCATGGTCCACACAATAATAATTGAATTACATGTCAGTTGGGCAAATTAATCACACAAAAAAAAAAAAAAAAAAAAAAAATCTCTTTTTTTCTTTTTCTATGTTCTCCCTTTCCTCCCCTTGCTCTAAGGCACCTGTTTGTCAAACAACCACTATATATAGCAACAATCATTATACCATAAATCATAATCAATCTTACAAGATAAATCATTAACATAAAATTCATTAGAAATTCATTTTTAGTACATTGAATTAAATATTTATTTTTTAAGATTCAGTTTTTGTATATTGAAAGTTCATTTCTAAATATACTTTTAAAAAATGTATTTTCAAAATATTAATATACTAAAACCGAACATTTATTTGTGGTTCATATAATCTAGTTTTTGGTCATAAAGTCATCAGAAGAAATCCGATATCAAAACTTGCCATTAACTTGAAAACATTGCCTATTCCTATGTACAAAAAACACATCCGCAATTCAAAAATGAGTGATCTCACACAACATAACTATCCATGCCACTTCCAAACTCAAGCTAAATATTGTGTCTTACAATCTGCTTTAATTTTCACCTATCCAGAAGACAATCTAAAATCTTTCCCCATTCTACTGGGGCATATTAGGACAGAATCTACACACAAACCACCTTTAGTATGTGTGCAATCAATCTGAGTCAGAGAAAACTTAATCTTTGTCAACGCATCGGCGTTGGCATCCTCGACGACAAAATCTCCTACATGGTAGTGCACCCAGGTTCCTAGGTTGTCCAGGAAGCACCGCGATGTCGCTTGCTGACCATCTTGCAATGTGAACTTTAGTTGAACCGGCTTAATGTCCCAGCCGTGAACATTCTCAGCGTTGCACCCTCGACGACCACCCAACCTCTTCGTTATCCTCCCGAGCTGAAGCCTGAAAAACAAACTGTATTCCCCCGCAGGAAATTGGAACTCGAGGTCGCCATCCACTTCGACCCACCAAATTTGTTGAAGATATGCAACTGTCTGGAATCTACATTATGGTGAGCAAAACATAACATCAAAAACCTAATTATTAGGACCCTTCCCACAATCATTAGCAAGCAGGCAGGCTGATAGGAATGTGTACAAACTTCATTTAAGGATTCCTATTTCTGGAAACAAAGTGAAAAGGACAGGTAAAGCTTCCCTGACCAGCAAAAAACTAAATCGCCCTTAACTTAAGCATACATAAATAGTAGTTTGAACCATAATGTTTGCTTGTGAATACCTGAAGATTATCCTGATTCAGACAACAATTATCAAGGGCTAGCCACAAAAATGTGCAGTCCAAAGTTAGCTTAAAGCCACATAATTCATTTTAAGGAATTAATTAATTATAAAGAACGCATTTAATATATTGATTTCTTGAATCTGAATATATAGACATAATAGGATTTATTAGCCCGCATGGATTAAACTCACTGGTCTAGTAGACAGTATTTGAGAGAAGAGACCAAGGCTAGAAATTAGGTAACCGTGTGAAAATTATGTCCAAAGTGGGTAGATCCCTTGTGGGCACAGACATTTAGCCTCGACGGCTAGTCCCTGAGTTATCGTGACTTATATGACAGCATATATATATATATATATATATATATATATATATATATATATATATATATATATATATATATATATATACACTAGTCTTTTCTATGTGCGATGCGCAAAAGCATATGCCCAATATTTATATTTTTAAAAATAACAAATTTTTACTAATTAAAATCTAAGTGAAATAAAATTTATTTATTATATTAATCCAATATATATGAATATATAATGTTTAACTAACATTGTTATCATTAAAGAATATAAGAAAATATATGGTAGATGCATGTGCATGGTAAAAGTAATGGAAAGATAACAAAAGTTATAACAGTAAGGGTATTTTTGTCCAAAAAATTGTATAGTACAACTCTAAAAACATAATGTACAAAATGGTTAGCATAAAAAATATGGATAAAAATGAGAGATATAACTTTGATTGAGACTTAATTTTTAGATAATAAGCAAGACATGATCCTGAAGTGTTTGAGTTTAGGTAGAATTGTTGTTCCAAAGATGATTGGGTTAACCTCTCCACATCGATACCCAACTCGGGTCGTCTTCTGTTAGTGATGGGTATAGGATATGTCTTTTATTGGCAATGATAAATTACGTAATGATCTAAGAAACTAACACTTCCCACAGAATGACAACAAATAAAAATGGAATTCTACTATATATATTAGCAGCCACCATTTGTGCCTATCTCTCTCTTTTCTTTTTGGGTAACCGAGGACGTGCACTTGTACTGTACTTTATATCTTGTCTTGTATTAAAATATAGCATTGACATCTTAACAACATTATACTCCCAAAAACGCAACGAATATTCGTCACTTTGACTTCAAACAATGCAAAATAACTATAGTAAGTTAGTAACGGTCGGGCAAAAATCGGTAAAATGTCAAATCTATTAATTAGTGACTAGGAGAATTAATGGTATAAATCATGGTCCACACAGCTGTGTGAACCATAAATTACTTTTATATATATATATATATATATATATATATATATATATATATATATATATATATATATATATATATATATATATATATATATTATTTGAGTACTAAAAGTAAATTATTTTGTATACTAGGAGTATTAAATAATTTACATTTAGTATACAAATAATGTGATTTTAGTATATTAAAATTGTACATTGTATTTAGGGAAATATATTATTTGAGCATTGGAAATACATTATTTTGTACTTTTAATCATAATTAGTATTTGGTTGACAACTTTTTAAAACACAACTATTGTGATTTGATTACCCTTAAAGTACCAACTTTTATCCCTATCATAAGGTACATAACCAAAATCAATATTGATAATCGTTCCAATTCTACCTTACTACCAAATATGCAAAATACTTTCACCAAAATCCATTACCAATACCAAGTATTTGATTCTCATTCTGATTCCAGTTCCCTTATGCTAACCAAACACACCAGAAGAATTTACTTATTTTGTGGTCCACACAACTTGATCCATGTAAAAATTTGTCAACTGTTGGACCCATGTAAAAATTTGTCAATTGTTGGACCCATGTAAAAATTTGTCAATTGTTGGACGAAGTTCAGTAAAAGGTCAAGTTCACCACCTACCTCTTGAAAATATGATGACTACTGTGTATAAAGAAATAAAGTGATAATTGTATAATCTTAACAAGGGGTATCTGATTATGTGTGCTCACCAGAAAAAATGGCATAGTAATAAGTTACTACCACTTTTGGCGTATTTGATCCTAATAGTAACTGATCAGGACATCCTTAGCATTAGAATCAAGAAGAGACTGTATTAATCCAAAAAACAATGAAGACCAACCTTGATTCTTCAGTCGGAATGTGATTCCAATACCTCCGATCATCGATTCCGGTAATCCTCATGCCCTTAGCAGAAATCGCCAAACAAACTCCTCCACAAGTCTTATCAATCCAAACATCCTGCGACACATAAAACATACATTTGGTAAAAACACAGAGAGATTATATTGTTAGAATCACCCTGTAAAACAAGCACTTTAATTTTCCAGACCTTTGTGCCACCATCGAAAGAAATGGGCCGGCAAAGCATAGAGAAAATGTCCCTTTTTGGCATGCCGGCGGCGCTGAACCCGATCAGATCCTCCAAGATATACCGGTAATTGGAGGGCAATTTGGGCTCCCAGATGAAATCCGCCGACGAGGCGGCCCGGAAGGCCCGGTCAATACGGGCCAGCTTGCAGATCTCCGGCGGTTCCATATAGGACAAGACCAGAGCGACACAAGATTCCGGTATGTCCGCTAACCTTGCCTTTAATGGTGGTTGACCATGCCCGCCGTTAGGCTCCAAGTCATTTGAAGAAGCATTAGCGCCCATTTCAGAATAAAAAAAGCAGGAATTGAATGGAGATAGAATAACAGAATAGATGGGATTGATCCAACTAGCAAAAAAGGAAAACTTTTGGAGAGTGTGTGTTTTGGGTGTTGTGTGTGAGAGAGAAATTTAAAGAGAGAGAGAGAGATGTCTGCAGGGGGGTGTTTTGCGCGCTTGGATTTGGAAGCGAAGGTGGTTCTGACGAGGATTTTGAGTAGACAGAGAGAGTCCTTATCCGGTTTGAAAGAACAAGTCCTCACGTGGTTGGATAGCGCGTGGCTGTCACGCCAGGATGATTCAGGTGGTAACTGATATGCGGCCCTTCTTATCAATGATTAGACAAAAACAATACCGCAATACGGAGTAATATATACTATATCCCTACCATTTTGTTTGTTTGATTCGATTAACGAGATTCGTATGAAGTTATAATATTTTTTCTTTCAATGTGTGATTTCTATATTCGGAATCATTGTTTGGTTGAGGTGAATACGGTGTCATTCGCTTGAATACGATACCAACACTTACATAGAAATTACTAATAGGTGTTTCATGTTAATTCCATCGATCACTTCTAACCGTATTAATTCTACGATTAAGTTGATTTTTCACTTTATTCTTATTCTTATAAAGAATAAATTTATTAACGGTTTTGTTTTGCTATTAAGCAAATACACTTAGCACTTATCGAGTGATATCGTTGATAACGATAATAAAATACTTATTACCACCATGCTTTTGTATTGATTCAAAATCAAATACACTGGTATGAATTAAATCAAGTGATTCAATTTTCATTTTAGTCGCTTTAAAATGAATTTTCGTTTTGCCTCAACACAAATTTCATATTTGTAATTATAGTTAACTTGGAATACAGTCCATACAAATTAATCTATGTATATGTCAAGGTTAACAAGACCTAGTCTACCGTGCCACACCCACGAAGGCTTGACTAGGCAAGTCCAATTAATAATAATATTATTAATTACGGCTATTACATCGAGATTAAAGCTCATTTAGGGTCCGTTTGGAAAGCAGGAAAATGACTTCTGGAAAATGTTTTCAGGAAAATGAGTCATTTTCCGGAAAACATTTTCCTTTCCAGTGTTTGGTTGCATTCTGGAAAACTGTTTTTGTGTGTTTGGTTCATTTTTTGGAAAATGAGTAGAATTGTATAATTAAACATTTTAATTATTTTATGTAGAATATTACAACATGTATAATAATATATAATAATATAATATTAATTTTAAATATAATAAAAAATAGCTAAGTTTTTCAAAAAAAAAAATAACAATATATCAAAAATATTATGGTGGTGGTGGTGGTGGTGTAGTGGTAGTGGTGTTATTCGTTATATAATAATAATAATAATAATAATAATAATAATAATAATAATAATAATAATAATAATAATTGGTGGTGGTATGACGGTGGTGGTGTGGTGGCGGTGGTATGGTGGTGGTGGTGACGGTGGTGGTTGCGGTGGTATGGTCGTGGTGGTGGCGGCGACGGCGATGTGGTGGTGTTGGCGGTGGTATGGTGGTGGCGGCGACGGCGGTAGTGGTGTTGGTGTGATGGTGGTGGTAGTATGACGGTGGTGGTGTGGTGGCGATGGTTGCGGTGGTATGGTGATGGTGGTGGTGGTGGCGGCGACGGTGGTTGCGGTGGTATGGTGGTGGTGGTGGCGGCAATGGTTGCGGTGGTATGGTGGCGGCGGCGGTGGTGTGATGGTGGTGATAGCGGCGGCGGTGGTATGGTGGTGGTGGTGGCGGCGACGACGGCGGTGGTGTGATGGTGGTGGTGTGGTGACGGTGGTATGGTGGTGGTGGTGGCGATGGTTGCGATGGTATGGTAGTGATGGCGGCGGCAGTGGTATGGTGGTAGTGGTGGCGGCGACGGTGGTTGCGGTGGTGGCGGCGGCGGCGTTAGTGGTGTTGGTGTGATGGTGGTGGTGGTGGCGGTGACGGTGGTTGCAGTGGTATGGTGGCGGCGGCGGTGGTGTGAAGGTGGTGGTGTGGTGGCGATGGTATGGTGGTGATGGTTGCGGTGGTATAGTGGTGGTGGTGGCAGCGGTGGTGGTGGTGGTGGTAGTGGTTGCGGTGGTATGGTGTTGGTGGTGGTAGTGGTGGTGGTGTGATGGTGGCGGTGGTATAGTGGTGGTGGCGGCGGCAATAGTGGTGGTAATGGTGGTATGGTGTTGATGATGTTGGTGGTGGTGTGATGTTGGTGTAAAAGTTGGAAAATGACTTCCCCCCAAAAAAAGGGGAAGTCATTTTCCTCCAAAAGAAGGCTATTTTCCAAAGTCAACGGAAAATGATTTCCGTTGACTTGATTTTCCAGGCACAACCAAACACTGAAAACTTGGAAAATGATTTCCAGAACTCATTTTCCAGGTTTCCAAACACACCCTTAGTAATTAACCTGTTGCCTTTATATATTACAATATTAGACAAAACTTTGACTTAATCCACACGATCAAGTTAAAACTTTATAATAAATCATTTACGCCACTACTCGGAAAATCAAGTGGTTCATTATTTATTTTTGTTGTCTCAACGTTTCAATCACTTGTTTCAATTTTAAGTTTCATACTAGTTCAATTTGGTATTTCCAATCCAGTTAATTTAACGTAATTAATAAGATCATTTCAACCAAAATTTCAACTTGTTGAACAAGCTTATATAATTGAATTGAGAATATTATTCAAAATATTTAATACAATTGAGTTATAATGCTCACGATTATATATATATATATATATATATATATATATATATATATATATATATATATATAATTAGTCATGAAACAAAATGAAAGATCAAGTTGTGGCTTTAGCTTTTGAGCATGGTGAAATTCAATTCATAGCAGTTTTCTAGCTAACTATCATAGTTGATTTTTGTAAGATATTATTAATGCTTGACTCTAAACATGTTTCAGAGTACATGTGGCCAAGCACCTTAATTGTGCTCAGATGGCATTGAGTGACCTCTCTTATATGGGAGGTTATGAGATTGAGTCTTAGTGAAGACGTTGTTGACTATTTGAGCTTCAATGTAATAAAGTTAGTAGCTTGGAGTCCCCAAGAGAGGGGATGAACATTTCATAATCGAAGTTAGACCATTATTGAAAATATCACCATTTTCACATAGTTATGAAGACTTAGACCATTATATTGCCAAAACTTGATATATAATGCACTTCCCATCCCGTACTCAGAAATATGTTTATAGTCAAGCATTATTTCACCATATCTTCTTTATATATATATATAATAAAGCATAATCTAGTCACAAAATTTTCCCTCCAAAGTATGAACGCATTTTGATAGAAACAAGATTAGCAAGTATGAATGCACTAATTGTATGGATAGGTGTATTTATACATTTTTTTTTAAAGTTATTATGTGTATTTATATTTTATAAATTATATTTTATTATTATAGCTCTATCTCTATCTTTATATATATTAAAGCATAATGAAGTATGAAAAAAAGTTTATTGTGTTCAAATTTATTGGTAAAGTTTTATATTTAATATAATTTGTGTATATATTCATTTAAACCTCAATTATAATTAATTTGACTCCACATATATAAAGAGGATAAATTAGATATAAAATAAATATAGTTCTTATATAAATAATCTTTTTCAAATGAATAAGTTTTTGATGGAGATTTTCGACAAATATCGCCTGTTATTTTATTTACAAGTTTTATTTAAATACATTAGTTATATAATTAAAGTAGTTATTTCAAATTCAGATTCCTTTCAAAAAAAATTCAAATTTCAAATAATAATACAAGTAACAGTAAACTTTAAAATCAACATAATAATACCATAATTAAACTTTTAAAAATATTAAATATTACATTATATAGTTATACTTACATTTTTAATCAAACTAATTCTGAGCTCAAGAACTCAATTACGTTTTTCTGTTTCCACGACCATTACTTTCTTTGCTAATTCAGAGGATTTCAAAAATTTAATTGGTAAATTTGTTAAATTAATAATAGTTCGTGCATCGCACGTGACAATTACTACTATGCTTAAAAGCTAAAGCCACAACTTGATCTTTCTTTTTGTTTCACGATTAATTATATCTTTTATATATATACTAATTTTTTACGCGCATTGCGCGATTGAGATAATGCCCAATGTTTTTTTTTTTTTTTAAATAAGTACTTTAAAGTATATATCAAGGCAAGGTTATATTGGAATTGTTCATGCATAGATAATTGAATGTTGAATTTGCGTATTTAAATATGTAATTCTATGTTTACAAATGCAAGATAATATAGTCAAGATTGATTATAATTGTCAATAAAATAATTGTATAGGTATGGTTGAAATGAAATACGGGACATAAGGGAGATCAAATAAAAATTAGGGCATAAAATATTAAATATATTCTAATATTGAAGAGCTAACTGCTGATTGCCAAACAAGGACATTGCGATTTGGTTTCCCACATCAATTTGTTGTGTGATTTGAATACTCTTTTTGTCAATAAATCCCCCAAGTGATTAATATGATTGTCTTAGTTATATTTATTTATTTATTTTTTTTTTAAACAATTATTATTATTATTATTATTATTATTATTATTATTATTTTTATTATTATTATTATTATTATTATTATTATTATTATTATTATTATTATTATTATTATTATTATTATTATTATTATTATTATTATTATTATTATTATTATTATTATTATTATTATTATGTATACCCTTAGGTCATTTTACATGTTAATCTAAACATTTAATTTTTTCAAATATCTTTTTATCAACCGTTGGATAAGAACTAATCTTTTTCAAATGAATAAGTTTTGGTGGAGATTTTCGACAAATATCGCCTGTTATTTTATTTACAAGTTTTATTTAAATATGTTAATTAGTTATATAATTAAAGTTGTTATTTCGAATTCAAATTTCTTTTAAAAAAAATTGAAATTTCAAATAATAATACAAGTAACAGTAAACTTTAAAATCAATATAATAATACCATAATTAAACTTTTAAAAATATTAAATATTACATTGTATAGTTATACTTACATTTTTAATCAAACTAATTCTGAGCTCAAAAACTCAAGTACGTTTTTCTGTTTCCACAACCATTACTTTCTTTGCTAATTCAG